TCGCTGCTGCTGCTACTGTCGCTGCTGCTGCTGCTGCTGCTGCTGCGGAAACGTCGCACTCAGTCTTACGTGCAGCATCCCAAGAGACCGTGCGAAATTCATCACAGCTCTACGGGAGTCTGCTATACACAGTGAGGAAGTGAAACAGAGAGCGAGAGAGAAAGACCAAGGAGAGACAAGTAAAAAGGCAACGGCGTATAAACAAGCGGACCGAAAGAAAGGGTATACGATTATATCGGGTGTGTGAACGAGAGAGAAGGAGGAAAGAGAGATTTGAATAAAGGGAGCAGAAGCGACGGGAGACAGACGCACACGGCAAAAAGAATAAAAGAACGCGCGCGTAAGAGAGAGGAAGAGAGCGAACGACAGAGAGAAATAGAGAGGGTTGAAATAAAGAGAGAAACAGTCGAGGAGTGAGTGACAGAGAGAGAGAGAGAGAGAGAGAGAGAGAGAGAGAGCGAAAAACAAACAGACAGAAAAACACAGGGAAAGAGAGAGAGAGAGACAGGAAGAGCCAAAGACTGGCGTACTGCCAGTGATAGCTCACACAAGAGTTCTCTACAAAGAGTCGACATCGATCTGTTGCGAGCGGACGCGATCTAGGCGTCCGGAGCGCGCGCACACACACACTTGCCTCATCGTCCTCTCTCAGACATGGATGCCGGCGGCGGAGGGAGGGCTGCCGGAGTGACGGGAGGCGCGCTGGAGGAGGAAGAAGCTGCGAGTCGCAGGAGACCGCTAACGAGAATCGTCATCGAGGACTTTAGCGAGGGTGAAGGAGGGCGCCCGGAGGAGGCGAAGGAGGAAGAGGAGGAGGAGAGGAGTGGCGTCAGCGGTCAAGCGGCCGCCCGCGCTGGCGCTCGTGACGTGCTGCTCGGGGGCTCCGACCACAGCGGTGACCGCAGCGACGACGACAACGATGACGACGATCATCGTAAAGGCGACTGCGACTCGGACGTCGAATGTCTGAGCGCCGGCGTCGCTATGGTGGCGCCACCCGGCGGCGGCGGTCAGGCGATGACGGCACGGCGGGCGCACAGTCTGCAGGAGTCGCATCTCGACTACGACGTCGCCACACCTGGCGACGGCGACGACGAACGCGACGCCGGCGCCTCCACGTCAAAGTGAGTAGTCGCAGCCTGACCGGGGCTTAGTTCGCCAGCCTGCCGTGCGGCGGAGCCTGCGTTGCTAATAGCGTATGAGCGTGACGTGGCGCTAGCTAGTGTGACGTCACGGCACCTCGGCGTTTGCGCATGCGCGATTGTGTGTACCAGTATGCGTTTCATGTCACGGGTAAAATGTTGCGCCCGTCATATATAACCCCCTCCCTGCCGCCCCCTCCTTTTCACTCTTCCCTCTTTATGCCTCCCCCTTTCCCGTTGTTCCTCCCTCCCTCTCCCTCCCACCCACCTTCTTCTTTCCCTCTGTCCTTCCTCTCTTTCTCCTATTCCTCTCCTCCCTCTCTTCCTTCCCAAGCCCCTCCATTCCCCCCAATCCCTCTCTTCCTCCTTTCCCCTCTCTCTCTCCTTTCCCCTCGCTCCCTCCTCTCCCTCTCCATCTCTTCATCCTCCCCCATCACTCTGCTCCTCGACCTCACACCCCTGCAGATGGCAATCGTCTAGCACCTCCCTCTAGCAGTGATCAGCGGGAATAGTCATCGATTAATCTCGCCTTGCGCAGATTTGCATATTTCGTCTCTGCGTCAATAGCCTGAGCGGTTTCCGCGTAACTAAATATAACAAGCAGCGGCGCCTCTGTGCGCGCATGCGTGGCGTGCGTGCGTGGCGTGCGATGTGGGTGTTTGTTGTGTGCGCGGCGTGCGTGTGTGCGTGCGTGCGTGCGTGTTGCCGTGTGTGGCATGCGTGGCGTGTTGTGTGTGTGTTGGTGTGGCATGCGTGCGTGCGTGCGTTGTGTGATGTGTGTGTTGTGCATGTGCTGCGTGGGCGTGTGTGTGTGCATGCGTGCCGTGCGCATGTGTGTGTGTAATTACTAAACGCGCGAGAAGCGCAACACAGGCACACGCAACATATCATTATACGCACAGCACGCGCGCACGGACAATACTCACACACACGCACACCTTACAAACACACACACACACACACAGCACACACACACCACACACACACACAACACACACAACACCCAACACACACACACACATGCACACGCACACACAGCCACACACACACCGCACACACAACCGCGCACACACAGCCGCACACACACGACACACACACACAACGACATACAACACACAACACGCAGCTCACGCACAGCTCGCACGTACGGCACGCAACGCACGCACGCACGCAAGCACGCGCGTAAGCGCGGGCTACTGCTGTCCGTGACGTCACTGGCAAGGTTGTACGCAAAACGTGGCCGCAGAAAAAGCCGGGAGGGGGAAGCGGCCGAGCGCGGGAGGGGGAGGCGGCCGAAGGCGGAGGGGGAAGCGGCCCGAGGCGAATTTTTCTTTTTCCTTGATTGTAGATATTAGATTTTCCCCTGAATGCTACGAGAGTAAAATTTAGGTCGGCGCGAGGGATATGGAAGCAGGTTGCAGAGGCAGTGCAGGAAACAGTGACAGGGGTAGGCGGCCGGGGCTAGGCGGTAGGGGCAGGGTCAGGGGTACGGGGCAGGGGCAGGGACTAGGGTTACGGGCCAGGGGCAACGGAGACAGAGGTAGGGGCAGCGGACGCAGGGCAGAGGCCAGGGGCCAGGTGCAACGAGACAGGGCAGGGGCTTGGGGTAGGCTCCAAGAAACGGTATTTGCTAAGGGTTAGAATACGATGTATTGACGTCATATCGACGTCATATTGACGTCGTATTGACGTGTATATTGACGTCGTATTGACGTGTATATTGGACGTCAGTCAACCTTCAGCCTGGTCGATTAGGGCTGGGGTAAGTGACAGGGAATAGAGCAGGGGAAGGAGAAGGGAGGGGCAGGGGCAAGGGCAGAGGCAGGAAGGCAGGTGATAGGGCAGTGGGCTGGGGTAAACGGGGCAGGGACAGTGGCAGGGACAGGGGCAGGGAACAGTGAGCAGGGAGCAGGGGCAGGGGCAGGAACAGGCGACAAGGGCAAGGGCAGGGCAGTGACAGTGGATAATGAGCAGGGGAAAGGGAAGGGGCAGGGGCAGGGGCAGGGGCAGGAACAGGGAGAAGGGCGGAGGGCTAGAGCAGGGAAAGGGGGAAGGGGCAAGGGCAAAGGCTGGGTAGGGGTTAGTGTTAGAGTCTGCTGACAGCGTGTGTAATAGTTGGATGTCGTATGCCGCTGCGGGCATGTAGAGAACTCGCATCCACTGCCGTTTTCAATTCCGCGAAGTTTAAAACCACAATATACAACGTCATGCACAACAGCCACGATCGAGCGTGCCATTGTGCAATAAATAAGACAGGGACTATGTCGAACATGCCCGGTCTCTATAAGGGCGAAGACAATGCGTATTTCACTCAGCCAAGACTGTCAACACGTCCGACAACACACACAAAAAGTCGCCATGCTGCCAATTATTCGCCCCCAGTATGGCGTATGTGTGTGTGCTGTGCGCGCGCGTGCGTGCGTGCGTGCGTGCGTGCGTGCGTGGCGTGCCGTGCGTTGCGGTGCCGGCGCAGCGTGGCGGTGTGTGTGTGTGTGTGTGCGTGCGTGCGTGCGTGTGTGTGTGTGTGTTTGTATCGCTGTGTGTATCTCTGTGTGTGCGTGTGTGTGTGCGCGCGCGCGCGTGTGTGTGTGTGTGTGTGTGTGTGTGTGTGTGTGTGTGTGTGTGTGTGTGTGTGTGTGTGTGTGTATGTGACGGATAGCTTTTACCCTGCCTAATTAATTAATTAAATGCAAGTCTGCAGCACATGTGCGCGATGAAACCTACTATCATACTATGCAGAAATGCGGAAATTTAATAACCGCACACATGTACAATCCATCTGCCAAATATATGTATGTATTAAAGTAACCATTACGAGAGTTTTCCAGTGTTTTCACCACTTTCATGACACCTACCGTTATTGCTTGAGTAACAGCAATTGTCTAGAGTAACAATAAAATGTCTTAGAACCTTCGTAATCACCGAAAACTGCCAGTTTCGAACTAATCGTTTTTGTAAACATTCGTTTTCTGTCGTCTTGAACTAACAGGAAGTATGGATTAACTTGTGGCGCCACAGCTTATCTGCCATAGACAGTACAGGCATGCACTTGTTTTCAATTCATCACTGACACAAATACAAGTTTAGCAATTCTGCCATTAGGCATTACCGGCATACGATAAAATTTATTACTGTTACGATGTGGTCAAATCCATTTTTCTATGCTATAAGCCTATAACTGCATAAAATCTTAGTATTTTTAATGTTGGTGTAATCAGTGATATTTCCGCTGTCAGGTGAGACTATATTCATCTTCATTTAGTTTTTCTGAGCAAAAATCTCGCAATAACCGTTTTAAGCGAATGAGAGACACAGCGAGAGCGAGGGAGAGAGAGAGAGAGCGCGCGAATGAGAATGTTGTGGAAAAAGAGAACGTGAGCATGAGTAAACTAGAGAAACAGAGAGATCAAGAGGGAGAGAGAAAGAGAGAGCGCGCGAGCGAGAGAGAGAGAGAGAGAGAATGTGTGTGTGTGTGTGTGAGCGAGAGCGAGAGAGAGAGAGAGAGAGAGAGAGAGAGAGAGAGAGAGAGAGAGAGAGAGAGAGAGAGAGAGAG